GTATTTGCGAGCAATTGATTCCTTCCAGAATAACATTCCGTTCGTGAGGACGGAAGGTAGCAGCATAGAAATATTTCAGTCTTGGGTTAGATCCCTTGATCCACAGTTTCAAAAATGAATTGAAATCTTTTTCATTGAACACTGTTCTATTCAGTTGAATTTCTTCCCAATTTGATATCAAAACTTGATCAATTGTTATTTTGTATGCATCAGGAATACAGACTCTCCACAGATTCTTCATGAATATTTTGTTCATTCGACCGAGTTCGTGACGTCCAAACGGGATTCTTTTGAGATAAAGATGATCGTAATGATGAAAACTTCCGAGGGCAATCCTTGAGAATTCATTAGTTAGTAGCTCCGCTAGACTAAGTTTCAAAATTTGTAATCCCTTGAGAACTTTTTGAACAGGCAAAATGAAATTAGCATTTACGAATTCGTCATTAATAAAAAGCTCATCAACTCTTGGATGCTGTAAGACATCGGTAAAGTGATGAAGGTATTCTCGGATTCCAATATTTGCAAAAAACCACTTCCAACTGATTTGTTCCTTGTTATCCTTCGAAGCATTAACTTTGATGTGCCAAGGAATGCTAAACTCCTCGTCAGAAAAATAGTAGCTGTGATAGAAATGAGTCCAGAAGTGGATGGATTCTCCAAAACAGATATATACTTCAATATTATCTTTGACGTAGAACTCGATTGTCCTTGCTCTCAATCCAAGTGATTTGACCATTTTCTTTGTGTTCTTTGAGCAAAGTGAGTAAGTGAGCCTGGAAAACAAAAATCATCTTAAAACAAAATAGTATTTTTTCAAAACTTACTGATCACAGACATTCATGCGCCGTAGAACGTGTAAACCTGCACTTGTTGGGAGTTTATGCAAGGGAAAACTCATAGCTTTAAGATTGCTGAATGAATGGAAATAGAGGTGGGTAAACAGAAAAACCTGGAGGATGAACACAGATCAATAATGTTTGGTTGTGAGTGGGAATAGGGATGGTTGTGTCAAACGAGAGGAACAGATGGGTCTGGATAGAGTGACGTTTGCTAATCTGACCTCCTTAGTCTGATTTAGGTGGTCTATTGTCACTGGGCGAGGACGAACAATAAGGACTGCTAAGTCGCAAACTGTCGTAAGGTGTGCTGCATTCAGTCAGTGTACCCTGTATCAGAATAAGACAAATATAATTGTCATCTGTAGGGCCGAGCTTGAAAGTTACTTTAGTTTGATACCGGCTGCTCCACACTGACAAAAACGATGTGGACTTTTTCTGAACATTACGAGCTCTGTGAATTGAGTGTATTCCTTTTTTGTTACGGATACATGAAGTTTCAGAAGTTCCAGAAAATACAAACTTCATTCATTACATAGATTTTTAAAAAACGTTATAGCTCTTGACAAATGACCCGAAAGAAAAAGCAAATTGAAAAACAAGTGAAAACAAAAATGAAAACGGAAAATGAAAACGGAAAATCGATTAGATATCCGCTATGAGCTTGAAATCGTACTCCTTAATCACAACAACTGCTTGGGTCCCATCAAATCTTCTTATCTTGCTTCCTCCAGCTAGTTTTGTTTCTTGGTAAGAGCCTTCCACAATTCTTCCATGAACTTCTTTACTACCCATTGGTATTTTTGAATATTTGATTCCTTTTAAAATGATATTCCGATCGAGAGGAAAAAAGGTACTAGCATCGAAATATTTCAGTCTAGGACTAGACCCACTCATCCATAGCTTTAGGAATACATGAAAATCTTTGTCGGTGAATTGAGTGTCAATCAATTGAATTTCTACCCAATTTGAAATTAACACTTGATCAATTGTTATCATGTCTGCATCATCAGCAATACAGACTCTCCACAGATTCTTCATGAATGTTTTGTTCATTCTTACAAGTTCAAACGGGATTCGTTTAAGGTAAAGTTGATCGTAATGGTAAAAACTTTCAAGGGCGATTCTTGAGAATTCGTTTGTTAGTAGCTCCGCTAAACCAAGTTCCAAAATTTGTAATCCTTTGAGAACTTTTTGAACAGGCACAATGAAACCAGCATGAACATCTTCGTTATTAAAAAAAAGTTCATCAATTCTTGGATGCTGTAACACATCGATAAAGTGATGTAGGTATTCTCGGATTCCAATATTTGCAGAAAACCACTCCCATTCGGTTTTTTTCTTGCAATCGTTCCAAGCACACACTTCGATGTCCCAAGGAATTCTGAATTCCTCGTCTGGAAAATAGTAGCCGTGATCGAAATAACTCGAGAAGCAAATTGAATTAGAACTATTGAAACTGATATCGATTTCGATAAAACTGCAGATGATTATTTGGATAGTCGTTGCTCTCAACCCAAGAGATTTCACCATTCTCTTTGTGTTCTTCGAGCAAAGTGAGTAAGTGAGCCTGAAAAGTATTATTTTGTAACAAAAAAAGTATTTTTGAACAACTTACTGATCATGGATTACCATGCGCCGTAGAACGTGTAGAGCTGCATTCATAGGGAGTTTATGCAAAGGAAAACTCATAGCTTTGTGGTTGCTGAATGAATTGAAAAGGAAATGACGAACAAAAGAATATGAAGGATGAGTTCAGATCGATTATGTTTGTTTATGAGTGGGAATAAGGGTGGTTGTGTCAAAAGAGAAGAGGTACAGATGGGTCTGTAGAAAGTGACGTTTGCTAATCTGACCTCCTTAGTCTAATTGAAGTGGTCTATTGTCACTGGGCCTGGACTAACAATAAGGACTACTATGTCGCAAACTGTCGTAAGGTGTGGTGTGCTCCCAATTTTTTTTTCGGTGTACTCAACTTCGAAATCAGGCAAGTTTGACCGAATGCGCCACACGGGAAAAACTAAACTAGTCCTCTTTTGGACCTTATGAGCTTTTGTGAGTTTGGTATAATAGGAGAAACACTTCAAGTTTAATGTCGGGGGAAGGCTTTGACTTCAATTATTGGTAGTTTGCGGTCACTTGATAATTAGACAGGACACCTCAATTCCTTATTACCAGAAAAAAACTGGAAACCTACAAAAACATTCACTAAAAAAAGGATTACAGAGAGTTCAAGTCTTCTGAACATGAGATTCCTGACTGGTCGCTGGAACAACTTGAACTTCCTTGTGTTTAGATGCCTTTTTAGTTGGTTCGAGAGCCACATACGGGACAAATTTGAACTCTCGAGACGATGCATTTTTACGGACGGTGGTGGATGTCGGTTGGGGGCGGGATTTTCTGGAAAATATTTGAATTGTACCTAGATTCTGTCATCTATTTTGATTCAAAATAACAGGTGGTGTGAAATTTTGAGAACGGAGCTTCGAAAATTGATTTTAAAGAAAAAACTAACCTATTATAGGTAACCAGCATAGGGCCAGTGAGAACCGACTTTTCAACAGTTTCATCCTTTTTCTCCTCTTTTTTCTCATCTTTTTTATCGGGGAATGTGGGGAAGATGAACTTCAGGGGTACGTATCCAGCTTTCTTTTCATCACTAACCGCCGTTTCTTTGTTTCTCGCTTCAGCTTCTTCCTGAAAAAACAGAACTTCGGAATACATGGAGAACGTCCAAACGAGCAGAAAATAGCAGCGGGATACTGGAGCATCGTTGCATAGACTCTGTCAGACACCACAGACCCTTCATGCCCCGCCCACCCTTACTCAATAGATGGTGGATGGCGGAACCCGTGAGGTGTCTGCTGCAGTGTACATAGGGGGTATATAACGGGGGTGCCCTACTGGTCATAACACCCGCACAGTACACGATGGTCCTGGCCCGGCCGCGTAGTACTAAGGGAGTAGCCAGTAACGTCTCTGAGGACAACTTCTCTTCTCTTCTCTACATCGACAATAGCAGGGACAACTCTAGCAACTTCATCAGGACAACTAAAGGATCACTTCAGGTTAGTCCCGCCCCCTTACATGTGCATGCCGCCCCACCCCTTTTTTGTTTTATTTTGAGAATAGCTTCCACAATTCACTCAAGTCAGCTCAAATTTGGCCTGGATTGTGCCCAAGCAGTCCGAAATAGGCCCATAAATATAAAATTGGCTGTCAAAATGGCGGCCGCGGCCGTAAGGCCGCCCTAACTCCTTAGAACTTGACTATCAAAATCTATCATCAAAATCGGAAGCCCCGATTCCTTGCCATTCGCTTGCCCAATGCAACTCACCAACTTCCTCTTTCCCTCTGCAGTATTCTTATAGGCATGCATCATACACGTTCCAAAGAATGTATTTGAAGTCACTCTTCTTAACTCTTTTTCCTTCGTCGCATCCAATGGATCCACTCCAATCGCTCTATCAATTATCATCAACTTTTCCAATGTCTCATTCTTCGGATCGTAAAATTTCCGTTTTGGGAGCTCTTTCAAGAAATGAGTATTATTGATTGAATGTTGAGCCATCAGGCCAGCATGGGAGAGAAGTTTGCACTTTGGAATCTGGTCTTCATTGGTTCGATTGACCCAGAATGGACGGTTGTTGTAGAAAACATCGTATCTGCCACTTTTCGTGTTGGAAATACTCCGAATATCGACTTCTTTGGACTGGTATCCAGAAAGATCCGGGAGGAAGTTACGTTCGTCCTGAGGATCGTATTCAGGACTCACAAACGACTTGAACAGCATTTCTTTGGTTCTGAAAACTCCTTAGTTATGGTGCTTGCGAACATTTTGAAAAAAAAACTTACGGCTGAGCAACATCATCCGACTTTCTCATCCAAGATTTGGTCTTATCGAAAATGTTCTTGAAGAAATTAGTCTTCTTTTTTGGTGGCGGCTGTGGAGTCTTTTTGTCTGGAGTCTTCATATTCGAACTATCCGACGTTTTATTGTTAGCTTTTGATTTTTTCGTGCCAACTGCCTCGTTTGATCTGTCGTTCTTCAGTGGAACATATGTGGATTGTCGAGGACTCGGGTTGGATTCTTTCTGGAAAAAAAAACTGAATTTTAGTCAATTTCCGAGTTCAAACGCGAGTGGCAAACAAGACAAAAAGATTTGTCTGCTCGCGGGGTCGAACCCCCGCCATTGGATTGGTGGCCGTCGGCGCTATCCACTGCGCCAAGAATGCAAGGTCGACAGCAATCGTAGAGGGCGCATATCTAGCAGGGCTGCCTCGCCACCGGAATGCTGATCTCAAGATGATCGAAACGCTCCAAGAACCAATTTTCTAGCAAAGTTAAATGCAAATGAGTGGCCATCTGAAGTTTGTTGGCCGGAATTCTCCATCTCCTGGCCTAAATCTTTACAATAGCAGCCAAGCAATAGCATCATCGAATAGCTCATCTCAAGACGATCAAAACGCTCCATAAATCAAGCCTTCAACACCATTTTGAGCTAAGTTATAACCTTCTGTACCTAACTCGCGAAGTCTCAATAGAGCGCGCTTTCTAGTGGGGCTGGTATCACTTACAGAATTATTCAGATTCGGTTGCTTCGTAGCCTTCTTCTCCCGATCATCCGATCCTTGTTGTTTTTGTTGCTGATGATTCTTATTCCTCCCACTATTCTTCTTCCGATGCTTCTTCTTTTTACCCCGTCTAGACCCTTTTTTCTTCTTCTGCTTCTCCCCATCATCCACTGAATCTCCTCCTTTTCCCTTTTTCTTCTTCTCATCACTCTTATCCTCAAGAATAACTGTTGGAGTAGGCAGGTTCTTCACATCAGTCCCACTATCCTTTTGCTCCACAACTACGATATTTGTCTCTGATTCTCGACACTCTGGTTCCTCGGTCTCTTTCTCTATTGTCTGATCCCGAGTATCCCTATCCCTGGATGGTCTTCCTTCATCTGGGTTTTCAGCAGATGCCTTTTCCATCGATGGTTTTTCCATTGAAGGGCGGTCCATGGACAGTTTCTCATCTTCTTTATCATCCGATGGTTTATCATGTCCATCTGGTTTCTCTTGAGTCGGTTCGTCATCTTTCGACATGGTCTCCTTGGATTTTGCTGGGAGGCGACGTCTCTGTCTCTTGGAGAATTTGGGTCTGACGATTGGAGGGAGCTCATTTTTATTTCCTTTCGGGTCTCTTGCTTCTTCTGCCGAACTGAAAATTTTCAACGATTCGAGTTTACTAATTATGCAGGTGCGCTCCACTGAACTCACTTGTTAATCGATGGTTTTCCATTCGGATCACTGCTATTTACGTCCATTACCCTTTTTGTTACTCTGAAAATTTCTGACTTTCAGATTATCAATTTTTTTTGAGAAAACTCACCAAAATTGACTTGCTCTTTTCTTGAAAACTGAAATAGTCGTGGAAAAACAAAAATCCTAATCTCCAAAGATCTAGAGAAAGATAACGATCAATTGGAGTAAGGTAGTACACGTTATAAAGGATTTTCCAGTTTTTTTTTTGATATTTGAAAATCAGAAGGAAGTGAGGATCCACGTGAACTAAAATCGGAAAATTGAAGCGTTGTTGCCGCGGACTCCGCCCACACGTAGAATCCCGGATGTCTATCTGTTTGTCTGTTTGCCCAATTTTATCTTTTGTTAGCCTCTAATTTTGGATGTCCAGGTGTTCCTTTCCTAACAATCTGTCTGTCTGTGTGTCTAAATGTCTGGATTACCGTATCCGATTATAAACCCGGCTATCTGTCTATTTCAAGCCCATGTCTGCCTAAATATCTGCATGTAGCTTGAGATATCCAGATGTCCAGTTTCCCGGATGTCTATCTGTCTGTCTGTTTGTCCAATCTCACCGACTTCCAAATACCTGTTTGAAGCTCCGGATGTCCAGATATTTAGGCTCCCGGATGTCTAGCCGTATGTCTTTAAAATTTGAGCTTTTGTCTGTCTGTAACTTCGGATGTCCGGATTTCCAGTTGCCTAGATTTTCCCTTTTTTTTATCTGTATGTCTGCTTGTCCACATTTAGATTTTGTCGGTTTGTAGCTTAGGATGTCCAGGTATCTTTTTCTGGAAATCTGTCTATCTGTGTGTCCGGATGTCTGGATTTCCGTATTCATTGTTTGTCTTGTAACCGCCATTATATCATTGCTGTTTTGCTAGTTCACAGTTCCACCTTTGCCAGTTCCGTTTGTCCAATTTCATCTCTTGTTGGCCAATAGTGCATACAATACATTCTACGACAATTTGCGACATTGTGACCTTTGTTGCTAATCCAGGCCTAGCGACACAAGACCATCTCAATAAGACACCCCATCCAGACACATCTGGTCTTGACACAACTCTCATTCTTACTCAAAACCAAACATTATTGATCTGTATTCGTACTTCACATTCTTTTCTTTATCATTTCCTTTCAATTCATTCAGCAACCCCAAAACTATGAGTTTTCCATTACATAAACTCCCCGCAAGTGCAATTCTACAAGTTCTACAACTTATGGATATCTATGATCAGTAAGTTGTTCAAAAACACTTTTTTGTTACAAAATAATACTTTCCAGGCTCACTTACTCACTTTGCTCGAAGAACACAAAGAAAATGGTTAAATCTCTTGGATTGAGAGCAACGACCATTCAAGTACACGTCCAAAAAAAGATCGGAATATGTATTAATTTTGATAATTCAAATTATAATTTCTTCTGGAGTTCTTTCGAACACGGCTACTATTTTCCCGACGAGGAATTCAGAATTCCTTGGTACATCGAAGCGGTTGCTTGGAACAACGTTAAGAAAGAAACCGAATGGAAATGGTATGGTGCAAATATTGGAATCCGAGAATACCTTCATCACTTTATCGATGTGCTACAGCATACAAGAATTGATGACCTTAATTTTAATGACGAACTCGTGAATGCTGATATCATTGTACCTGTTCAAAAGGTTCTCAAAGGATTACAAATTTTGGAACTTGGTCTAGTGAATTCAATAACAAACGAGTTTTCAAGGAGTGCTCTCGAAAGTTTCCATTATTATGATGAATTTTATCTAGAACGAATCCCGTTTGAACGTCATGAAGTTGGTCGAATGAACAAAATATTCATGAAGAATCTGTGGTGGGGACTAGTTTCTGAACCAGGCAAAATCACAATTGATCAATTGTTAATTTCAAATTGGGTAGAAATTCAGCTGAATATCACTGACCTCACCGAAAAAGATTTCAATATACTTTTGAAACTTTGGATCAAGGGGTCTAGTCCAAGATTGACATATTTCTATGCTACTACCTTCCATCTTCTCGATCAGAAAATTATTTTGAAAGGGATCAATTGCTCGCAAATACCATTGGATAATGAAGAAGTTCATATAAGAAAGATCGATGTTCATTACCAAGAAACAACACTAGCTGGAGGAAGCAGGATCAAAAGATTTGATGGCACTACGGCTGTGGTTGTGATTGATGAGGCCGAATTCAAGATTATAGTGGATATCTAACTAATTTTTCGGCACCTTTTTTAATTACAACTGCTATCAGATCGCAGTGACTGGTCTCTCTCTCTCTCTCTTTCGATTCTTTGCGGAGCCAAATTTTTGAAATTGACGTCAGTCATGTTTCATCTTTCTTATGTCTGCCCGTTTTGTTGGGCCGTTAGACACGACTTTTATTGTTTCTTTCAAAAATTTTCCAATTTTTTAAATGAAGTTTGATAAATAAAGTTAAGCTTTTGTGCTTTTTAGCATACATGGAACGGGCCCGGCACGGTCGGCCCGGGTTTTCAAAGCTGATTTTCCAATAAGCAATTTTTTGAGTAAAATGGTGTTATATGATGCTATTTCGGACTGAAAAGAAGAATATTGATGTTTTTGATACTTTTGTATGAAAGTTGAACATTTTTGGAAAAGTTTTGCAAAAAAAATTGATGAAATTTTTTCAAAATCTTAATCCGGGCCGGGCCGAGATTTTCCAAGTATGCTTTTTAGCATCTAGCCGTTTTCAATTGTCTGTCTGTAGCTTTGAATGGCCAGATGTCCAGATTCCTAAGTTGCCAGTTTCCTATCTGTCTGTTCGTTTGTCCACTTCAAGCTCTTTCTAAATGTCTGTCTGTAGCTTAGAATGTCCGGTTGTTCAGAATTCCATGATTCCGGATGTCTATCTGTTTGTCTGTTTGTCCACTTCAAGCGTTTTCTAAATGTCTGTCTGTAGCTATGCATGTCCAGATGTCTACGCCACCGGCTGCCTATCTGTTTGTCTGTTTGTTCAATTTGAGCTTTCATCTGTAAGTAATTTCGGATGTCCGGATGTCCAGTTGCTTCGATATTCCCGATGTTTATCTGTTTGTCTGTTTGTCCGATTTGAGCTTTTGTCAGTCTGTAGCTTAGGATGCAGCTGTCATTACTTTTTGCTAGTTCACATTTCTACGGAACTTTTCAAAATTTCAAAATTCAACAAAAATTCCAAATAATTCATTCAAAAAGACCAAATAAAACACAAATATATACAGCAAAATATACAAAAACAGGCAAGAAGAAAGCACAATTCGAGGTAATTGGCAAATGATTTTTCGATAGACCCCCTTCATCAACATCTAAGCTATAGCAACGACTACCGTAGAAGTGTAAATCACAACGTGGATCCATATCGATCGTGTCAAGACCCATCGGGTTACGGTAGTCAACAAAAGGATGACGACAACATTCAAGGAGAGTGTTATTCTGTAATTGAGCACTCGAGATAGTTCCGAGACCCCGAGGAGAGGAAAAAATAATAGAGTTTTGCATTTTAAGAGTGTCAGAGACCTCGAATAGGGGTTGGGTGGATTCCAGGAAACAATTCGCAATGATTAGATTTTTGATTTTTGAATTTCGAGTTGAGGTTAAAGGGACATGGGGGAGCCTTGAAAAGTGAAGGTAGAAATTTAGAATATTTAGGTTAGAGAGCCCATTAGGACCAATTAAATCAATTTTTGAATTTGAAATTTCCCAGGATTGGGGTACGGTACCTACAGTATCCATATCCATACGAACAATTGATACGGTAGAGTGGAAGATTTTCAGAATTTTCAGAGATTTTGGAAGATTTCTAATTAACAATTTAGAGGTTCGGAATATATAAACTTGAGAAAATTCCGCCCCTTTTTGATCGATTTCTAAGTGCTCACAATCACCTAGGATCACTATGGAGATGTTAGAATCAATCGGAAACCTAGAAGGAATTGATGAC